AACATAGCTGCAAACAAAAACAGATACCAAAAAAATATCTAAATTATATGTATGCAATCCTTTTATAAAGGATTCTACCAACCTTGGGTTGAGAAAGAAAGTGTCTCAAGCTAAGGCCAACCTAGTAGATGCATTCAGCATAGCTGAACATAAAAATCACCATAGTTTCTATAAGATTTTTCATGCCTTGAAAGTTGTCCTGAGGAGGAATACAATAATGTGACAGTGAATAAACAGGTTTGCTGTTTATTGCAGCCCATGACAGCAATTCTATTGCTTTTACTAGTAGAAAAGGTAAATCTTAATATATTATTTAAGGACGAGCTTTGTAAGTATTTTTTAAAAGATAGGGTTTATATTAGAAAGCTTTTACAAAACATTTGGTTGTTACATTCTTGCTCAACACATGAACTAATTGTTTTCATTTCCTTTTCTGCAGTTGTTTGAATTCAATCCTTTTTTATTTTTTTAATCATGCATCCCCTTTTCTTTAACATGTTTTTAAAATGTGAGTTATAATACATATTGTACTGCTAAGCCTTTTTTCAAAATGAAGATTGTTGCTGAAATATAATTGAACTTTTATTTTTATGATATATTATATGATTAATTAAAACATAAATAATAGAAAAAATAAACTCCCTAAATTCTGTTTAACTGAAAATTAAGTACAATATATGTATGCAATAATTGGAACAAGCAGGTAATTGGGAAGCTAATGCAATCCCCACCCCCACCCAGCAATCCAAGGTAATTAACAGCATTACCTTTTTGTTGTCATCCAACACAGTGTTCATACTTTCTATCCAAAGAGTATCAATAGGACCATCAAAAACAACCCATTTGCGGTCAGGTGTTTCAGTTAAAGCAAATTCTCGAAAAGTATTGGCAACTATGCCATCTGTCCACTAGAATGAAGAGAGACACAAGGAAACTTTAATTGCTTATATTGACCTAACATGTATACTGATTTGCGAATATATGTATATACACATATAGTTGTGTTTCAAACATATACCATATTACATTGACAGGCAGCAAACTACATATACTACTGAATGATCAAACTAAGATTAAGAATTTTTCTCCATGATTGCTGACAATTGTGCAGGCCTTCTCTGTGGGAGCTCCCACCCTCTGGAACGAACTGCCCCCAGAGATCAGGGTGATCCCTGATCTCCCTTCCTTCTGCCGCGCCCTCAAGACGTGGTTGTTCCAGCAAGCGGGACTGGCCTAGGGGATTTTATAGGGGTTTTAATTACTTTTAATTGGACACTTTCAAATATTTCGTTTTAATTGGGTTTTAATTAGGCGTAATATGTATTTATGTTAGCTTTTTTATCATGTGTCAGCCGCCCTGAGTCCGAAAGGAGAAGGGCGGGATATGAATGGAATTAATAATAATAATAATAATAATAATAATAAATTTCATTAAAACACTTCTACCCTCTAGAATAGCATTCCCATGGAGATATGTATGACTCCCACTCTCCAAGTGTCCTGGCAGCCCCTTAATATCTGCCTGTGCTGCTAGGTTAGGGTATGGACAGTGTGGACAGTTATGTTTTGTTATGTTAAGTTTTAATTATACAACTGATATTTTGTAAGCTTTCTAGAGTCTTTGTGGAGATGGGTAGCCTTAACTAATCCAATAAAAAAGGACTGATCTTCTTCACTTTAATTTGTATTTGGAACATTTTCTGAAACATGCACAAAAATATACAAGTACACATTAGCAATTTAATGGAGCTACCCTACCTGAAGATTTAGATTGATCAAAACTATAAAGTACATTTTTGTAATCTAAGGAATGTATGATGCTTACCTCATGAGATACTGGATCAAATCGTCCAAAGAGTTGTCCCATAGTAATAGCTTTTGGATTGACAGTTCTGTGTATTACCTTTTCTTCTTCTCCATACTCACGCTGGTTCATTAGGGTAAGTGTATCTGCTAATACATGCAGAACTTTGGTCTTGCCAGAAAAAGGCTCTCCTACAAGCATAAACCTGATAAAATAAAAGTTGTTTTTCAGCATTTTTTTTCAGCCCAGAAAAGCAAAGGGATTATTCATATAATTAATCCTGAAGATATCCATACCCATTTATTGCCATAAAAGTGAAAATGGAATTATAGAAAAGGAAAGAATGAGAAAGCAGGAGCACACTGAGTTTTTACAAAGTTACAATAAGGAAAACCAGCTGAATTTTTCAAGCAGAATAGTGTCCCTCCAGAACATCAGTCGGCCTCTATTGGTTTTCCATAACTTATTAAAAATCCCAATTATTTCAGAAAGCCTTTTAGGGTGTGAAGGAATACTATTGCTTGTCAAGAGTTAGTTTAATGTATCACTGTGGTTATTTTATTGTTTGTTTCTTTTATATTTACACTATATACATTTAATGTATTTTATGGACATATGTTTATCACCAGGTGATCAAATTAATCAAATAAATAATGAATCCCAATTCCAACAGCTCAGTCATACCAATAGCAATAGCACGTAGCCTTATATACAGCCTCATAGTGTTTTACAGTACTCTCTTGCATGTATGCAAGCTGCGTGTATCCATTCACTTTTCAATTGGAAGATCTCTTTCACACTTTTTCTCCAAAAATGCAAGGTGATCATACATTAGGTAGTTATAGAGCTATGTCTGACTTATTACATATTGCACTAAAGTCATAATGTGCCAGATTTTGCATTGCTTTGGAATACTATGTGAATCCAATAACAGACTCCCTATGTTGAACTCCTTACATCAATAAAATATAAGAGGCCCCCTACAACAGCATACATTTATAAAATCAGCCATAGTTCCCAACTGCTCCTCTTCTTAATCATTCATCTTCTTTACTCTGTCTCTGACAACATGGCGAGATTGTTTAGGAGAATCACTTTTAGACAAATAGTGTCACAGATAATTGTAAAATATATCATTTTGCATACCATGGCATTTTGCCACTTTTGAATGTCTTTTTCACTTTTAATACAAATTTGAATTTGCTTAAACAAATACATTATAATTCAGAGTTCTGAGTTTTTCACATAGTAATGTCACTTTGATAGTTAACTCACTGTATGGACCAATCTCATTAGGTTTACTCCATTGGGTTTCTTGAAGATGATAAAAAAAACATGCCAAAACCCAAATAATTTTGTAATAAACGTTATTAATACCAAAAGAAATTGTATTGTATTACTGTTTTATTCTTACCACTGACGACTCCTCTATCTGCTTTGTTTCAAAATCTGGACTGACTCATTTCTCTAAACAGAATACTCTTAAAACCTGGTTAATGTCCAGGAGTGAATTACAACAGAATAATGCAAGTTCATACAACTGTGTTCATGAAATGTAATGTAATGGATTGTTTGGTTGTTTTATATTTAAAAAAAGAATGTGAAAAAATAGAAAGTGAGAAAAAAATGAAATTAGAGTCAAGCTATTCTCCAAAGCACCTGAAGGCAAGACAAGAAGCAATGAATGGAAACTAACCAAAGAGAGAAGCAACCTAGAACTAAGGAGAAACTTCCTGACAGTTAGAACAATTAATCAGTGGAACAACCTGCCTCCAGAAGCTGTGAATGCTCCAACACTTGAAGTCTTTAAGAAGAGATTGGGCAGCCATTTGTCTGAAATGGTATAGGGTTTCCTGCCTGAGCACGGGGTTGGACTAGATGACCTCCAAGGTCCTTCCATCATCACCATCATCATCATCATCATCATCATCATCATCATCATCATCATCATCATCATCATCATCATCATATTATTATTATTATTATTATTATTATTATTATTATTATTATTATTATTATTATTATTATATTGAAGTTATGAAGTAACCCTGAGTACACATTCATCACCTATACTAGCATGGTTAAATCTTCTATTGCCATTATATAATGGAAAAGTTAAGCCTCTTGTTTTCTATGACCCTTGCATCTAACCACAGCATACACATGGTATGGCATCATCTTTCTCCTATCCATCCCAGTCATATCAGTTTTATCTGCTCCTCAATGGGATAACCTTACATTATTCTTAGTTGTATTGCAGTTAACATTTTCTCCTGTAAACCAACTATTATATTGGTGAAACCATAACAAATAGTTATGAAGGTTACTTATCATAAATTTACTTACCCATGTCTAACTATCATCATTTCATAAGTCTGTATCATCTTTTCTAGAAAAACTTTAACA